AGAGGGGGGAAAATACACCCTCACCAGTTTTGGGGAAGATTGAATGGACAGATCTGAGTATTTATTTGGGAGGCAGATTTTTTTTTGCACTCCCTCCCCAACAGGAATAGACACAAAATCCTGCTGACTATTTTGTAGCCAAGGGAGGCTGGGTGGCCCTTTATTAGAAAGAGTGGAGCAAAGGATCGCCCTTTGATCAGGCTGAAATTTTTGGAGTTGCCACTTCAGAACTTTTCCTTTTTTTCGAAGCAGAATGAGCAAAATGGCCTCGCCTCAAATTGTATTTTTAGTGATGTTTTTTTCAGGAACACAGTTGACTGGAACAATACTTTAGTTTGGACCAGCTGTTAAAAGTTAACATGCCAAGGCCTGCTTTTATTTATATATATATATATATATATGTATATATATGTATGTATATAGTACGTGCATATATGTGTGCCTGTGAAAAATTGGCTCAGGTTAACCTTGCAGTAAAAAGGTATTTCAGAAACGAAATGCTAAACCTTACTCCCCACCCCTGTGTCAGTTTACAACACTTGACCTTGACTTTTTTCCCCCAAAAGTGACAAATCCATCATTTTCAGGCCAGTGCCCGCAGTCATTGATTGGTGATCCGATTTCAATAGCAGTTTGCTGCCAGAATTGTTTCACAAACATACAAGGAAGCAACGAAATTAGAAATGAATCCCTAATTTTGAGGGGTTGTTTTTTTTAAAAAAACACACACACACACAGAGAATAGTAGGTATCAATTGGATCCCAATCAGATTTAGCAAAAAAAAATCCTGACATATTTCCCCCAAATGATCAGTTCGTGGCCGTGGAACTCATCTGCCAGAAATATCACCACCAGAAATGATACATCACAAATTCACTGGAAATTAACGCAAAGGGAAATCAAATCCTGGGTCACACCGTGGTTTTGGGGACAGAAATGCAGCTTTCCGGTTGGTGGTTTCTCTGCATCCAAACGGATCCTTTTGTGTGTAAGTTGTTTGGAAGTGAGCTAACAGGCAAATATTGGAGAGCACACACACAGCAGCCAAGGAAACCACAGGGCCTCCACATGGCCCTAAAGCGAGACGGGTTTGCACGTCTACAACATTGACTGAATTTTGCCCAGAATCACTCCTTTAAAACACACACACACACGCATTATCCAGGCGGTTCATTTTAAGTTTTTTTTTTTAGTTGTTCCAATCTGCACTGAGCAATGCCCGCAATGCAGTATCGATCGGGGCTGTCGTGTCAGTGGTTTGCAAAACCGATGTGGTTTTCTGTCGCGTAACCCAATTTTGTGTTGCGATGGGGTGAAAGGTGTGTCCTTCGCGCTGTTTACACGCGAGAAAAAAGAGAGGCGACCAAAAGACGACATCGCATTCAAAATGGAAATAAAACGATTAAAATAAAGGAATAGTCGGTAAAATATCTGACTGTGCATATGTGTCAGACAGAAAGTCCGAATCCTTAATCGTTTTGCACTTAATAATACTTTTTTTTTCATTGTGTCTCTATTTTGAAAAAAAAGAAGACTGTACAGGAACCAGACAGCATAGATTTCCCAATTCACTGGTGATTGAAATCCACCATCGTAGGATGGATCTCTTCCCCAACCCCCTGCCATAAAATGCAGGTTGGGTTAATGGTTATATGACCAACCTTTGCAATAATCTTCACGTAAGCAACAGGAGATGCAAACTTAGGGTAGTAGATATGTTGTGTAGCATCGTGGGGGGGGGGGGGGGGGGGAGGTCCTCGTCTGGGGTTGCGATACTGTATTGCAAAGCAGTATGTGGAGTATTTGCTATGCACATGGTCACTCTACGAGCTGTGCTGAAGTTTGAAATGGTGTAATTGGGTGCATAGTGTGTAGCTGACCCTGTTCCTCGGTACTGACAACCCCAGCCTTGACCTTGATTAGCTCACATTTGTGCCTGTCAAGAAAATGCTCAGAGACGTCGCCGTGTAAGGTCGTGCTCCATCAATCCCACATGGCAGCTTTTCATCAATGGTCATGATTTTGCAAATCATCGTATTTGAGTATTATTTCAGATGAAACCAGTTCAGGTGCAGTCTTGAAGGGAGTGAATTATTGACAATGTCCTGGTGCAATCTGTTACTAAGTTCCAAGGTCATGTAGTAAGTGCTGCTGTAGATGCTCTTTTGAAAGGCAGTCGAGTAATAAGCAAAGTGTGCCAGTGTGTACCAGTATATCAAACATGTTCCTTGAATATTGCACAGATCAAATAATATGGCACAGGAAAATCAAGAGCCTTTAGCTGCAACTAAGATGAAATCTGTTGTGAAAATCTGTCGGCAAAACAACTTGTAAAGTGAATAATTTAACAAAAAAACAGATTTCACACCGTGGTACAGTAATATTAAAGCATTCGAGTGTTGAATTCTAGTTGTGTCTGCCAGAGTTTCGAGCATGCAATATGTTGATACACTGTTTCTTTGCAGCTTTCAAAATATCCGTGTTTTTATTATCAAAGCAAAGCAACACTTTGTAATTATATAAAATTGTAATATTGTACAAGGGGAACCACTCTCCGAATCTCTCGTATGTACAAGTGGTAACAGTCCTGTACACTGAGGAGTCATCACGATTTCAGAAATATTTCCATCTTCAGTCTAAATGATACAAATCATATCCATATACACGGATGTTTTGACACCTACACGTACGTCTTGAGTGGTAATAAAATGTGTAAACATTCTGATTAGTTCACTATCTGCACACACTTATTAAAGTTATAAAACAATATATTTAAAACTGGGTTCATGCAACACATTATACCGTGCAGACAATAAAACGTGATTAATAGCAAAATGCAGAATAGTAAAGAGAATAAAGCGTTGTGGCATCCAAATGCCAACATTTGATTTGACAACTTTAAATGAGAATTACTCATTGTTTGAATGAAGTCCAGGGATGGAATTACACACGAGCTATCTGTAGAAACATGCACCCGTTATCCTGCATGTTCCTGGAGGAATCACGTTAGTGACACTTCTTTGCATTAAAGTGCTGGCCTGATATTGTAATACTAAATCTGATATCATCGTATAATTTACCTAAAAGCAAGAGCAGCGGCTAAAGTCTTCAGTCACAAAGCCATGGTAATCTAAATTGCATTATGTACTTCTAGGATGATAATCTTGTCTGGTTCACAAATTTGAGATCATCTTTTAACACTAGTCTCTGCACCAGGATGATTTGTGTTTAAAAAAAGTGGGACTGTCAGAAAAGTGTTGCCAAAATGCATCATGGTGTATTTTCCTTGAGAAAGTGGTGTGTAGGTCATTTGCGAAGGGAGAGCCCAGTGGCTTCAATGGGCATCAGAAAACAATCCAGGATTTCCTCTACAGCACTGAAATGTTGGGACTGATAGGGTTTTGAAGATTGCTCAGGGAAACACTAAGTGCGGCGCTTTACAGTGAGATTCATTATCCTCCGTCCAGGAAGTGATCGATTCCAGCTACAACATAATAAATACCCCACCACAGAGTGCAATCCATGTTAGCAATGCAACAGGTTTTACGTGCATTTCAATGGAATTGGACGTAAATGTGCTCCTTAAAAAAACAAACCAGATAAAAAACCTCATTGCTGCCTTATTCCGATTGTGTTGAGATCGCCATACACGTTCATCAATGTAAAGCTTAATACAATTCAAGTACTTGAATGCTTCATACTAAATAGTATCAGAAGTGTTTTTACTCTACGTTTTTGTTCTGACCACATAGCCAATGTATTTAACATTTGACGCATAGTATTTAATAACGTTAACTGGAACATGTAGTTATAATCGCCGAGATTTGTTTATTTGCTACAAAAAGCTTACAACATAGCACATTAACAAAAAAAAAGCCCTATTCGATACATTTATGGAGAGATCTGAGAATATATGAAATGGAATAGAATATTTAATGCATGCACCTTAATGTATGTATCTCAAGTCAAGTTAACCTGTGGGTTATTGAGCAGGATTTGTTGTGCGAAAAGTGCCATTTTATACCGCTTTCAGACTGCTTATAACAGTGGACTGATAAAACGCGGTATAACGAGAAGTTATTGGGCGGATTGATTTCTGTCGCTCGCTCTGAAATAATTATTTACTTGAGATGAAAGCAATCAGAACTTAAGCCACAAACAGTTGTGATTACCGAGAATATATGCAGGTTGCAGTGTGAGCACCGAGAATTGAAGGAAGTAATTCCACGTTACAAAAATTTCCCAAATACAATGTGAACCACTTTACAACAAAGCCCGTTTCCACAACCCTCCAGATGAGGATCCATCATAAGTCATTGGTCTGGGAGTTTAAGACTCGATAACAGGATCCCCAGCTCAGAAGGAATGGCTTCATGGTCCTCTCCAGTTTATGGCAACGTGGGTCGCCTTTTTTTTTGAATAATAATAATAATTCCAAACCATCGCTTGTTATCTCACTGCAAAAAAACAAAAGAGTGAAGAAACATCCCCAAACATGGTCTTAGATGTCTTGCGGAGAAAGCATCTTCACGAGGTATCTACCCCTTTCAGTGTAACGCCAACCTATGCATTGGATCGAGGCTTATTTTCCTCCAGTGGTGTATTATTGGGAAGGGGAAAGGTGACAGTCACAAATTGGGTTGTAATTTTTTTTGGGGTGGTGGTGGGGTGGGGAGGGGAGTGGGGGGGGTTAATATTCAGTAGACTGCAGGCGGGTCTGAGGTAGGTGGGGGGGGGTGTGGTGTGGTGTGGTGGGGAGGGGGGGATTAATATGCAGTAGACTGCAGGCGGGTCTGAGGTAGGTTGGGGGGGGTGTGGTGGGGAGGGGGGATTAATATGCAGTAGACTGCAGGCGGGTCTGAGGTAGGTTGGAGGGGGGGGTGTGGTGTGGTGGGGAGGGGGGGATTAATACTCAGTAGACTGCAGGCGGGTCTGAGGTAGGTATGTGGGTGGGGGGGGGAGAAGAGGAGAGAGGGAGGGATGAAGTGAGGGAGGGAGGGAGGGAGTCGGGCGTTAGGACCTGTGAGCCGCGGCGGTGGCTGCTCGCTGTGTGTGTGTGCAGTGAGAGTGGGGGACCTGGAGGAGGCCGCGCCGGCTGTGGGGAGGACGCTGCGAGAATCAGCCGAGGGAAAAGGTCCAGGCCCGGAGTGGCAACGGGTAACTCACACTCACTCCGATCGCTGCTAAACCCGGCAGCTAATCCATAGCTTTTCCGATCGTCAACTTTTCGAAGCGCGATTCCAAACCGAGAAGCAGTAAAATAGGATGATTTTTTTTTGTGTGTGTGTGTGTGGGGAGGGGGGGGTGTGGGGGGTTTCTCCCCTTTTTCCCTGTGTGTGTGTGTGTGTGTGTCTGTGTCTCTGTGTGTGTGTGTCTCTGTGTTGGGGAGTCAGGGAGAGGGAGAGGTCGCTTTCTGCAGATGTGTGTGTGTGTGTGTGTGTGTGTGTGTCCTCTTCCACATTTTAACGATTGTTCACTTTTCACCGTGAACTTGGGGAGGGTTTGGTGGGAAAGGATCGCCCTTGACGATCAAACCCGGGCTGCTGATGGACGCCTGATAACACATTCGTTCCATTGCGATCCGTCCGTCTGTTGTGTGCGTGTTGTTGTGTGTTTTAAAGCCACACATCGAACAAAAATGTAACTGAGAGCCGCGGTACGTGTTAGTATTCTCCTGCAGCTAAAGCCAGTTTATCATCTCCCGAGCTTTTGGCTCTCGTCCAAACTCGTCCCTGGCACTTTCACTGCTGCCTTTCCCACCAGAACCGGCATCAAACCAAAATGGCATCAAATTCTCCATCAGCGCTGTGGGTTTTGCATATTTTGTGTGCGCGGGTAGATATAGATATATATATATATATATGTATATATTTGTATTGCACGGTGTGTAAATGATTCCTCCCTCCACATCAGTTGATGCACGCCATGGGATCACCATTAATCTTTCCCTTTGCCCCACCTGCCCGCAAACCTGGCAGACAGTGTGTGTGTGTGTGTGTGTGTGTAAAGGTGAAGGAGATGTATATACTATATATATATAGAGAGAGAGAGAGAGAGAGAAAGAGAGAGAGAGAGAGAGAATTTAATCCCTTATAGCGCTGACATATAGAGAAAGGCGCATATATGTATATTGTTAAATATGTGACTCGTCGCGTGTGTATGGAATAGTGTTTCGGGCAGTGCGATCTGCAACAAAAGTATGGAAGTTGTCACCAATATGTTATGTAAGCAAGTGCTGACATCTTTAGTATTGTCCATGATTCCGAGCACCAGGAGCCTGCGTTTCCTTTGCTTTCTATTTACTTTTCAGGTCGATGTGCAGAAATAACAAATGGTGATGATGGATTTGTTTTTTGCCCCCCAACCCCCCAACCCCCCCCACCCCCCCCCCCCCCCCCAAAAAAAAAAACCCCGAGCAAATCTGTGCCTTATATAATGCCGCACTATAAATAGATGGATCCACATAACGTTTTAAGGCAACCACAGCTGCTTTAACGGGAGGAATGTGACCTTTCTCTTAATTGTGGGGAAATTAGACATTTTTTTTGTGGGGGGGGGGGGGGAGAGTGGGGTGTGAGGGGGATGTCACGGCAGAAACGCACCTGACTGTATCTCTTTATCTGTCGTGAGACCATCTTTGAAGGTTAACCTGAAGTTTAAAATGCAGCAGACGCCATGTTAGCGAGGTGTTCTCTGTGATTTTTAGAGGAAGGACGGGGGTGTGGGGAGGAAAAGAGACGGTGGAAAGCTCCAGAAAATCTCTGTCTCTCTCTGTCTGTCTCTCTGCCAAATGCAACATCACCACATATGGCAAATGCATGTCGGATTTTCCATAGCAACAGGTGCTCTGCGCCTTATTTTGATGGGGCTTCAGATCTTCACCTTCCATCGCCTCGACGATTTGCAGCACTTTTAGCACTGCACCGGCATCAGTGACAACGCAAGACAGACCACGTCGGTCTTCAGTCCAGAATCGAGCTTAAAAGTTTTTAATCCTCCGTCAGGATCGGCATTTCCACCCAAACTGCCCACATTTACATTGCATTCCGTGTGCATTGGCCAAGCGGTTGCACACGTTAAGCCCCTTTGCGTGTCCCATGTCACTTCAATGGCATCGTATGTTTTGCTTCACACTCACTATTAGGGGCTGCGATCAACTGCTTCGGTTATTGTTTCGTGTCCTCTTCGCTCGGATTCGGAGAGACAACAACATATTGGACTCGGGAAACATTTTAAACACGAAAACCGTAATATATGCGCACTTTCCTCAACGTAACTGAAGGAAAGGGGGGAAAAAAACAATAGAGGGGGTGGTGAGGAGGGGGGAGGATGGGGGGTGGGTGGTGGGGGGGGAGTCATTTCAAGGACATTTCGAAGTATCGTTGACTGGGTTTGTACAGTCAATCGCTTTCACATGACTGGCGATTAGTTGGGGTTCCGGATCGAACGAAACGGGGTGTGTAAAAATAATAAAATTGGGCGAATGTGGGTTGATTTCTGTGGGTTTTCCTGACGCAAAGTCCAGGAGCAATGGACCCATCCGTGTCCCGTGTTCAACGTGCAAACTAAACCCCCGTCCACAAAATATAAAAGGAGAGGACGTTTTCATCCGAAGAAGGGATCTTTTTTCTCCCCTCTTGTGTCCCCCCCCCCCCCTGTCTCTCCCTCTCCCTCTCTCTCTCTCTCCCTCTCTCCTCTGGTCAAAGCGAGTAAAGCAACAAAATGCGCATTTTGGCACCATGTCAAAACCGCCATGTTATAACGCAGAGAGAAGAGAGGAGTGAGAGGGTTGTGTGGAGGGGGTGGAGGGAAGGGAAGGAGTGTGTGTGAGTGTGTGTGAGTGTGTGGGGGGGAGAGAGAGAGAGAAAAGAACTCACAACGATTATCATTTAATAATGCTGCCTCTATCTGGCAGCGAGACATGTCCCCACAACGATCTGCTCACCAGGTTGCGATGTGACAGCCAGTGGCCATCAGAATTATTCTGCACACTGGGTCTAATGTCACAAAGATGGTTGGCAAATATTGCCCACAGCTCCTGGGCTCTGCCTCGCACAACAAGGGGGGCAATTTCGCTCAGGTGGCGAGGCTGGTAAATCACTGAAGCCACCGAGAAACCGAAGCTATGGCTTTTATTTCTTTCTTTTTTTTCTCTCTCTCTCTCCTCTCTCTCTCTCTCTCTCTTTGGGGATTTGATTTATTGCAAATGATCATTTCTCTTTTTATTCTCTCTCCCCCCCCCCCCACCACCCCCATCCCCAACCCAACCCCCCCACCACCCCACCATCCCCCCCTTTTTTTTCCTTCCCTTTTTGCTCTTTTGCAGACAGAAGGAAGGAAGGAAGATAGAAGATAGATAGAAGACCGAGGGAGAGGGACAGCAGAAGAAAGGCAGGCACACTGCTCCGCTTTATGTTACAACACACACACACAAAAAAATACAGAATAGCAACATCTATTAAATCTGATCCCATGATGCCGTCCAATACCAACGCAAGCCCTGCCCTGGATCATGGATTTGAGACACAGATGGTAAGACGTGACTCTGCACACAATCAGCACTTTGTACTGTTTTATTTATTTGGGGAAAAAAATCTTTTTTGTGTGTGTGTGTGTGTGTGGAAGGGAAGGGGGGGGGGGTGGGGTGAGGTGGTGAGGGTGTGTGTGTGTGTGTGTGTGTTTTTTTGCGTTAGCTTTTGTTTTGTGACAGTGTCTTTTTGTGTGGGTGGGTGGGTGGGTGGGTGTGAAAATGTGTGCAACGCAGGCCGGCAGCAATGAGCCGATCTGTGCAGATTCCCACCCATGCCCCGCGGATCAGTTCCCCTGTGTGTGAGTGTGTGAATGTGTGTGTGACTCTGGCTGGTGGTGGGTGGGGTGGGGTGGTGGGGTGGGATGGGGTGTGGTGGGGGTATGGGATGGGGTGTGGTGGGTATGGGATGGGGTGTGGTGTGTGGTGTGGTGGGTGGGGGTGTGGGATGGGGGGTGGTGGGTGTGGTGTGGGGGGTGTGGTGGTGTGGTGGGTGGGGTGTGGGTGTGGGATGGGGTGTGGTGGGTGGTGTGGTGGGATGGGGTGTGGTGTGTGGGGGGTGGTGTGGGGTGTGGTGGGTGGGGTGGTGTGGTGTGGGGGGTGTGGTGTGTGGGGGGTGTGGTGGTGTGGGGGATGGGGTGTGGTGTGTGGGGGTGGTGTGGGTGTGGTGGTGTGGTGGGATGGGGTGTGGTGTGTGGGGGGTGGTGTGGGGTGTGGTGGGTGGGTGGGGGGTGTGGTGGGTGGGGGTGTGGTGGTGTGTGGGATGGTGTGGTGGGATGGGGTGTGGTGGTGTGGGGGTGGTGTGTGGTGGTGTGGTGGGATGGGGTGTGGTGTGTGGGATGGGGTGTGGTGGGTGGTGTGTGGGTGGTGTGGTGGGATGGGGTGTGGTGTGTGGGGGGTGTGGGTGGTGGTGGTGTGTGGTGGTGGTGTGTGGGTGGTGGGATGGTGTGTGGGGGAGGCTGGGGATCTGCTGATCAGAGCCTTTCCTCCCCCTTTGCCGCCGCTGCTGCTGTGCCTTTGCTGAGCTGCTGAGCTGCCATTGCACTGCATTGTGGGATTGTCGCATAGCGCACACAAACTCAGCTCCAACTTTGAACTCTTCCCACACGACGAGCGTCAGGACACCGGGGCCGAGGGGCTGAGGGGCACCAGCAAAGCCTGGCACCTCGTACCCCCCCCCCCCCCCACGCCCCCCCGCCCGCGCCAGGCAGCCAACCAGGCAGCCAGGCAACCAACCAGGCAGCCAGGCAACCAACCAGGCAGCCAGGCAACCAACCAGGCAGCCAGGCAACCAGGCAACCAACCAGGCAGCCAACCAGGCAGCCAACCAGGCAACCAGGCAACCAGGCAACCAACCAGGCAGCCAGGCAACCAACCAGGCAACCAGGCAACCAACCAGGCAACCAACCAGGCAACCAACCAGGCAACCAGGCAGCCAACCAGGCAACCAGGCAACCAACCAGGCAGCCAGGCAGCCAACCAGGCAACCAACCAGCCAACCAGGCAACCAGGCAACCAGGCAACCAACCAGGCAACCAGGCAACCAACCAGGCAGCCAGGCAGCCAACCAGGCAACCAACCAGGCAACCAACCAGCCAACCAGGCAACCAGGCAACCAACCAGGCAGCCAGGCAACCAACCAGGCAGCCAACCAGGCAGCCAGGCAGCCAACCAGGCAACCAGGCAGCCAACCAGGCAACCAGGCAACCAACCAGGCAACCAGGCAACCAACCAGGCAACCAGGCAGCCAGGCAACCAACCAGGCAGCCAGGCAGCCAACCAGGCAACCAGGCAGCCAACCAGGCAACCAGGCAACCAACCAGGCAGCCAGGCAGCCAACCAGGCAGCCAGGCAACCAACCAGGCAGCCAGGCAACCAGGCAGGGGAGCCACAGCAGCAGCTCTCACTCACTCACTCACTCTCACTCACTCAGTCATTCTCTCACTCACTTACTCTCTCACTCATGCTCTCACTCACTCTCTCTCTCACTCACTCACTTACTCTCTCACTCATGCTCTCACTCACTCTCACTCACTCTCTCTCTCTCTCTCTCTCTCACTCACTCACTCTCTCTCTCACTCACTCTCACTCTCTCACTCACTCACCCTCACTCATTCTCTCACTCACTCTCTCACTTACTCTCTCACTCACTCTCACTCACTCTCATTCTCTCACTCACTCTCACTCTCTCACTCACTCTCTCACTCATTCACTCACTCTCACTCACTCACTCACACTCACTCATTTACTCTCTCACTCTCACTCACTCTCACTCACTCTCATTCTCTCACTCACTCTCACTCTCACTCACTCTCTCACTCACTCTCACTCACTCACTCTCACTCACTCACACTCACTCATTTACTCTCTCACTCTCACTCTCACTTACTCTCTCACTCCCTCACTCACTCACTCTGGCTGCTTTCTCATCCTTTCATTGGATCCATTCCTATCATATCAACCCCCACCCACCCACACACACACACAACCACACAATCTCAATCCCCCCCCTCCCAACCAAACCCCCTGCTCTCCCCCTCCCCTGGTCTTATTGCTGCCTTTTTTTTCATATCAAGGTCAAGTCGATGTTTGGTCAGAGTAAACCTTGCCAAGGCATCCACCCCCCCCCCCCCCCCCCCCCCCCCGCATCAGATAGATATAGGAACTTCTCTCACTTAGCTCATTTAGAAGGGTGAGAGCACCGCGGCTTTGGTTGGTGTCTCTCAGTTTGGTATCACAAAAGTACACAGTCAATTCGCTTTACAGAGTATCATAGGAAGTGCTTTGAGACTGCAAGAATAATTATTATCATCATCAGTGGTGATATTTGGCGATATTGACCACTTAACACTGCTGGGCAATTGGAGCGAGCAGTGTAACTTCTTGTCTACCTTTGCTTAACTTCCCGCAGAGCAAAATTACACTGAGTGTATGATAAAGTTTATCAGTTTGATTTTATTGGTTGCGTTCTGACAGGCTGCCTCTGATCAATCACAACCCTCACCACAGAAACCAATAGCCTTTTTGATGCAGGGTTTTAAGTTCATTCAAGAAACTGCACTTCTGAATTGTTTGTGTCCAAAATATGTCACTAAAAGTGAAGATTTTCAGAGCTCCTCTATTTACACCTAAAGTGTTCACACTCCAGTAACCCAGAGTGTTAGCAGTTGTAATGGAGCTTAACATATAATTCCAGTTTGTGTTCTGTCTAAAGAACCTATTTAGAAGGAGTTTTGTGGTACATAATCCTTGTTAATAAGTAAGTAACAAAACAAAGATTAGGTATAGGTTTAGAAATCCAATCAGTATGATTTACTGGAATTAAACAGTTGTCAATTCAAATGTCCAGAAAAAAAACAAAAGCTTTGATTTTAAAATTCCCTCTCTCATCCCATTACAAGTGCTCCAGGACCCTACCTCACATGAAGGGCGCTATATAAACGCAAGTTATTGTTGTTGTGGTAGTTGTACAGGTTGCAAAGCCTTTCTTCCCTGCAAGGCTGGGTTTGGTTCTTGTTTTGAATTATGGTGAAGTAGCATTCTGTGATTAGCTAACAGATCTGCTTGTGATAGAGCCAGTGTTCCCTATCCCCAAGATGATAACACCCCACTACTTTGAGACTTTCCATACAATGATTGGAAATTGGTGGATCTCATTATTACTGTATCACATGAATTTGAGCGACAGACAGCACTGGGATTCACCACTAGCATGGCCATCTGGTAGTACTCTCAGTCTTCTACAAACTAAATTAGAAAATGTAGTGATAGTAAAAAAAAAGACCCTTTCTCAGTCATATTTTACTTTTTTTTCAATGGCTCTTTAACCACAAATCATTCCATCAACCTCCCAAGGTTATGCCAGTTTGAGAACTAGGTGAGATGCTCTACATTGCCTTGTCTAATATTCATTCCTTTCCCATCCACACTCCATGTCAAAGCATTTATTTTTATCCCAACATCTCTCTGTTGAACTATACATGATTGGCAGATTGGGAGCTATATGTAACTTGGATCTCACCACTTTGTAGTTCAGTACATGAACATCATAGTCAACTGGGCTGCCGTAATGATTACTCAAACTTAAAGCAATGCCACGAAAACCAAACCAAAAAAAAATTGTAAAGCGTGAAAGTTGCACATTCCATAATAATTTCATTTATGCACTCAATTGCATCTCTGAATGCCACACATCATCAGGCAACATGTCCATAAGGTAAATAGTTACATACACCACTGCCTAACTACAGTGAATATAAGTGTGTGTGGGGGTGTATCAACAACAGCAACTTGCATTTATGTAGCACTGTTCACACAGGATATTGTGTTGGAACGCTGTATAGATAATACAAATGATAAGAAAGATAAAATAGATGGTAAATTAATATTTTATGTGAAATAGATTTTTTAGCAATTGGATAATGTTAATTACTTTCTAGGGACACAGAGTATGTTTCACATTCATACAGGATTTATAGGAAAATACGAGCTAATGTTTCCTCATATGTTGTGTAAATTGACTATTTTCTGATCGCTGAGGAATTTACCTGATCCCAAGTTTTAACACTGAATACACTGGACTATTGCCAGTCCACAGTACGGTATACATCTGCTGGACTCATTGGTAGGCTGTCCATTTCGCTATATTATTCCATTAACTTACTTTCTCTATCATCATCTCTCAATTACTCTCTTAACTTACTCTGCCACGGCAGTTCTAATGAACGTTTTTTTAACATATGCCTTCAATCATGTTTCCTTCATCGTTGACATCCTGCTTACTACAAAATAACTATCTATCTTATGCACAATGCTCATCAACACAGATGAATGTGCATTACTTCAAATGCTTATCCTATAGTTACATTGCATCAACAGCTCCTCCCACCTTTATCACAGTCCTGATTTACACAGAATTAAAATGTTGCTGTTTATTTTAAACATGTTTTAAATGAACAATTGCTGTCCAAAAAGGACTCTTATTTTGCACAACCTGTACTGAAAG